ATGGTACTTAGTATTTAGTTTTGTTTGTTTGTTGTTTAACGCCACACTCAGCAATATTCCAGCTATTTGTCGGCAGTTTGAATATAATCGAGTCTGGACCAGACAATGCAGTGATCAACATCATGAGCATCGATCTACGCAATCGGGATACGATGACACGTATCAACCAAATCAGCGAGCCTGACCACCCGATCCCGTTAGTCGCCTCTTAATTACAAGCAGGGGTTGCTGAAGGCCAATTGTAATAATCAAATAATATTATTAAATTCTAACCCGGGTTAGGAGGTAAAAACTGGCGAGCACAGTGAGTAAATCCACTCACAAAAAGTGAAATATGTTCTTTAAAATGATATTTCATTTCTTATAAATGAATAACCCACACATATAAAAAAATCACAAGCATCACCAACAACAAAATATGTACGAAATTAATTATATTTGTCAGAAATTATTCCACGGACAACGCCCAGTATGTTATTGGCCAATCAGAAAACAATAGACTGCTAATGGACGACTGACGTAATTATCTATGGTTTATGTGTATTTATTAAACGGGAAGTGACCATATGGCTTGTAGTGCCTAGTAAGTGAGTGAGTGAGTATGGTTTTGCGCCGCTTCTATTTTTTTATAGCTCTTTATCCAATTTTTAACTCACCCCACCGCCCCTGACTAGTAACAGCAAAAGGTCGGAGTGGCCTACAGATTCCAATGAACTGGATCAATTGCGACATGTAATAGCAACAATTTGGTACATTTGTTCGTAAAAATATCAATCAATACATATTGACATCCACGAATGTCGCGTTTGATCACCTCGTTCATCAATACAGGGACACGTGCTTTCCATTAGTGAAAGCAGGAAAATACTGTATTTTTTAGCTAAGTCAGCAGAAAAAAAAGTCTTACGTGTTTATGGGCACTCGGTAGATCAATATGAAATTCTCTTCAATGTGATTTTTACTTCTATTCGATAATATCGCAACAGTTACTGACTAAACAGTTTCTATATTTTCTGTTTAATTGACATTTTAGAATAATAATATAGAGTATTGCTTGACAACGGTATAAGAATCTATACGAAACGTTGCATCATGATGTAGTAAAGAATTTGTTATCCAAAAAGTAATTTACATTTCATATCAGTATATTTATAGACCATGTGTGTGCTATGCTACGGGGGTAAGTGAGATGGGCTTAACTGTTTTGCAATTTGAACAGTATTTTACTTATAGCACGGCCTGTCCGGATACTATGGGACAAAAATAAAACCTATTTTCATAGGCTTCTGGTGAACCAAAGGGAGGCAACTCTTCACATAGAGTCATAATGTGGGATGGCTGGGTTGTTTTGGGAGTATTACATTGTTTGCCGACACGGTTTATACCTGTCATCGTATATCAACTGTTTAGATCGATGCTCATGATGTTGATCACTGGATGGTCTGGTCCAGTCTTTACAGATCACCAGTTAGCTCGAATATTGCTGAGTGCGGCGTTAGATAGAAAGCCGAAAATAGAACGGCCATCTTGGAATAGTCTGGACAAGCACGAGACGTCATACACACGTACGAGACGTCATACACACGCACGAGACGTCATATACACGCACGAACATCATTTGCACCGTCTATATTGAACGAGTTGGACCATATTGTAGGTATGTGTTTAATCACCATCATTTAGTTACCAGGTGCCCAATTGACGAACAAGAGAAGAAAGACCATCTTTATCATCTCCATAGAAAGATCATGCTTCCTCAAAAAATTGTGAAATGGAGACACAAAAGGCTGGAACTACTGAAATAGTACTCGACACAGACAAGCGAACAAACACAGTTGACCGATGAAAGTTAAGTGAGTGAGTTTAGTTTTACGCTGCTTTTAGCAATATTCCCGCAATACTACGGCAGGGCACACCAGTAATGGGCTTCACACATTGTACCCATGTGGGGAATCGAACCCGGGTCTTCGGCGTGACGAGCAAGCGCTTTAACCACTAGGTTACCCTCGAGCCCCTTTCTAAACATTGTCGTGTGGCAAAAGAGAAACTTAATTTCATTCTTCTCTGGGGCGGTGGGGTAGCCTAAAGGTTAAAGCGTTGGCTCGTCACGCCGAAGACCCGGGTTCGAATCCCCACATGGGTACAATGTGTGAAGCCCATTTCTGGTGTCCCCCGCCGTGATGTTGCTGGAATATTGCTAAAAGCGGCGTAAAACCAAACCCAGTCAGTCAGTCAGTCGTTCTTCTCTGAGATTGCAAATCAAGTTCAGCCCAAACCAATTCGCCTGTTACGACCAAAACAATGCATTGTCATCAATAAACTATCTGAAACTAACTATTCTTTAAGAGGGAGGCTGGAAAAAGATGACACTTAAGGGAAAATGATACTTTTGCACTCCTCTGCGAATACTTACATGATCCTTTTAAAAACTGACATTTGTTTTCCAGATAATTATCTTTACAATTACGTCGCCTTAGAATTTCAATGCGTTCAAAAGTGTTTTCTCTGGCTTGTGAAAAATTAATCAGAAACATATTGATTTTCAAAAAAACCCTACGTTTTTGTCTTACATTGATTTTCATCTACATCTTCATCAATAGAAGTCATGACGCACTGACGAGGCGTAACAACCAGGAAGTCCAAGAACCGTTACTGAAGGTGCATAGGTGGCTCAACACAGGTGGCATTCAATAACCTACATATGGATTTTACCTTGAGCCTGCCATATTTATCATATGACGTTCGGAGTTGTTCAAAGCTTAGAAACATTCAATTAAATATTTATATATCAATTTATTCGAGAAATGGTGTTGGGATTTTCGTTTGATGCAAGATTTAGCTCCCTCTCCCCCTAACCAGCCTCCTCCACTCCCCTCATTATGCGGAGTTTCCATGGGGAATACTGTACTTTGACTCACGGTGGTCTAACCCCACATCTACAGGTACATTTTAGCCATATATTTCCCACAACGTTAAAATGCCCTCGGTGTCATGTCATCGTCAGATTGAATTATGAAAGCTGGAGTATCAATGAAGACGGCGTTTTGGGTAAATTGTTTAACAAACTATCCATATGGGACCACCCTACCCCCAGCCTGAAATATGACAGCTTGAGATTCATAATCGAACCCTGATTAGATGCTCATTTGTACAAGCAGAGGAATGGTAAACGTGTACAAGAGTGAGTGAGTTTCGTTTTTAGCAATATTCCAGCAAAATCACAGCGGGGGACACCAGAATGGGCTTCACACATTGTACGCAAGTGGGGATTCGAACCCGGATTCTGGTATGAGGATGCTAACGCATTACCCACTAGGCTACCCCATAGCCTCGGCGAATCAAGGTGCATTGTAACCAGCTGGGGAAGTAACCTTGGTCTTGGACATGATAGCACTAGTGAGTGAGTGAGTATGGTTTTATATCAATATTTTTAATTAAAACTACTCAACTGGGATACGATCAACCAAGTCAAAAAGCGCGGCCACCCGATCGCGTTTAGTTAGCCGCCTCTTATAACAAGCGGGAGCGGGTATTTTAAGTTGGATTACTTGTCCCCAATCCCTTTCACATTTGTGAATAAAATATGTTTAAATCATTATAACAAGCATGGGTTACTGAAGATCAACCCGTGACGGTCCGGGTTAGAATATTGGTCTCCAGTAACCCATGCTTGTCGTAAGAGGCGACTAACGGGATCGGGTGGTCAGGCTCGCTGACTTGGTTGACACATGTCATCGGTTCCCAATTGCGCAGATCGAGGCTCATGTTGTTGATCACTGGATTATCTGGTCCACACTCCATTATTTACAGACCGCCGCCATATAACTGGAACATTGCTGAGTGCGGCGTAAAACTAAACTCACTCACTCACTGAAGATCAATTCTAACCCGGATCTTCACGGGTCATGAAGGGACAATATGGGCCATCTGCTAACCATTCCATTGGTCAACCAAGCCACCCGATCCCGTTAGTCGCCTCTTACGACAAGCATGGGTTGCTGAATTCTAACCCGGTTCTGCAGAACCTCGTATAACTCGAACTATTTACATAAGTCCTTCAGTTTCGACACAGCGGTGTTTGTCTGTACTTAATTCTTTTTATTCCGATTGTATTCCTTAACATTCCACTCAAGATGGATAACACGTAGTTGTTGTAGCAAGCTGCTTATTCCCTATGTTTCTGACCCGTGAAGGTCCGGGTTAGAATTGGTCTTCAGTAACCCATGCTTGTCGTAAGAGGCGACTAACGGGATCAGATGGTCAGGTTCGACTTGGTTGACACACAGTGTGCGAAATAGCCACTGACTAGTAAAAATCCAGTCGGGCCAGTAAATCCCCACAGTCACTGGCCCGACTGGCTAGTGAATTTTCAAATATATCACTCTCTCAGATTTGTTCAGTTATAATACACTCTTAAACCATGCAAGATTATGCCCTGATTAAAATGTTCATCACATTAGCAGCTTAATGATGAAACCCGTGTCTACATTCAAATTTCGGAGTAGTGAATTATTTTGTGGGCTAGTAACTTTCAGGCAAAGCTAGCCCGACTGGCTAGCAAAATTTGAAAACTATGCCGCACACTGTTGACACATGTCAAACAAGCAAACAAACTATTCTGTAATGGAAATGCCAGCGACCATTTTCTTGATGCTGCTTTTTGCAAGCACCACAGACCTGGTGTGACACTGTGTTCCAGATAATTATCTGGACAATTACGTCGCCTTAGAATTTGTGTTTATTTGTCCCGGGAGAGGGGTGTATCGGATGAGATTATATCTGATTTTAATGGGGTTGACCAGCGATTGCAATATTCCTAATATTAACTCAATACTCTTCATCGCATCCCAGTAGCGCTGATCGATGCTCATGATGTTGATCACTGGATTGTCTGGTCCAGACTCGATTATTAACAGACCGCCGCCATTATCGCTGAGCGCGGCCTTAAACAACCAACCAACCAGCCAAATGTTTCTGAGATCAGTAAGAGCTGTAATTACCTGTCACAGTGTCCTCCACGGTCTTGATTTCCTCGGGGGTATCGAGCATGGCCAGATCCCCTCCTTGTGCTTGACACGCCTGCCTAGCCCCACTCCAAGTCAGTGAACCCGAATAATGTCGCAGGTATGTAGGTACGGGGGTTGTGGTCGGCGTTGTTGAAGTGGTTGTGGTTGTTGAAGTGGTGGTGGTTGTTGAAGTGGACGTTGTTGACGTTGTTGGTGTAATTGGTTGCAGGCTAGTGTGTCGGAGGAGACATGTTACATCGTTTGACGAGTCTGAAACTAAATGAAACAAGTACCGGTGAAGTCATTGTATATGTAAAGAGTGATTCCATTGTATATGTAAACTGTGATTCCATTGTATATGTAAACAGTGATTCCTTTGCATATGTAAATTGTGATTCCATTGCATATGTAAAGAGTGCTTCCGTTGTATATGTAAACAGTGATTCCATTGTATATGTAAACTGTGATTCCATTGTATATGTAAACTGTGATTCCTTTGCATATGTAAATTGTGATTCCATTGCATATGTAAAGAGTGCTTCCGTTGTATATGTAAACAGTGATTCCATTGTATATGTAAACTGTGATTCTATTGTATATGTAAACTGTGATTCCATTGTATATGTAAATTGTGATTCCATTGTATATGTAAATTGTGATTCCATTGTATATGTAAACTGTGATTCCATTGTATATGTAAACAGTGATTCCTTTGCATATGTAAATTGTGATTCCATTGTATATGTAAAGAGTGATTCCATTGTATATGTAAACTGTGATTCCATTGTATATGTAAAGAGTGCTTCCGTTGTATATGTAAACAGTGATTCCATTGTATATGTAAATTGTGATTCCATTGTATATGTAAACTGTGATTCCATTGTATATGTAAATTGTGATTCCATTGTATATGTAAACTGTGATTCCATTGTATATGTAAACAGTGATTCCTTTGCATATGTAAATTGTGATTCCATTGTATATGTAAACAGTGATTCCATTGTATATGTAAACAGTGATTCCTTTGCATATGTAAATTGTGATTCCATTGTATATGTAAACAGTGATTCCTTTGCATATGTAAACAGTGATTCCATTGTATATGTAAAATCTGAGTCCATTGTATATGTAAAATGTGATTACGTTGTATATGTAAAGAGTTATTCCACTGTATATGTAAACAGTGATTCCATTGTATATGTAAACAATGGTTGTCCTGTATATGTAAAGAGTGATTCCATTGAATATGTAAACAATGGTTGTCCTGTATATGTAAAGAGTGATTCCATTGAATATGTAAACAATGGTTGTCCTGTATATGTAAACAGTGATTCCATTGTATATGTAAACAATGGTTGTCCTGTATATGTAAACAATGGTTGTCCTGTATATGTAAACTGTGATTCCATTGTATATGTAAACAATGGTTGTCCTGTGTATGTAAACAATGCTTGTCCTGTATATGTAAAGAGTGATTCCATTGTATATGTAAACAATGGTTGTCCTGTATATGTAAAGAGTGATTCCATTGTATATGTAAACAATGGTTGTCCTGTATATGTAAACAATGGTTGTCCTGTATATGTAAACAATGGTTGTCCTGTATATGTAAAGAGTGATTCCATTGTATATGTAAACAATGGTTGTCCTGTATATGTAAACAATGGTTGTCCTGTATATGTAAACAATGGTTGTCCTGTATATGTAAACAATGGTTGTCCTGTACATGTAAACTGTGATTCCATTGTATATGTAAACAATGGTTGTCCTGTATATGTAAACAATGGTTGTCCTGTATATGTAAACAATGGTTGTCCTGTATATGTAAACAGTGGTTGTCCTGTATATGTAAACAATGGTTGTCCTGTATATGTAAACAGTGGTTGTCCTGTATATGTAAACCGTTAAACAATTGCTTAATATGTGGATTAGTCTGGATTATCTGCCCAAACTATTTGCATTGTCCAGCCGTGTTCCACCACTGTGGAGGGTTATCTCCCCAAACCCCTACAGCCCAGTACCCCTACATCCCAGTACCCCTACAATTAGTTAAAACAACACACTGCATTTACCTGTCTGGCATAATGAACTGACCCAAAGGAGAGATTACAGGTTGAGCATACAGTGCGAGATTAAGCTGCACAGAGTATACAGATGAGAAGGGAATAAGATAGTGCTGTTGTTTATTTGGGTTTTAGTAATTCACTTTAAATAAGATGAGATGAATAAAATGTTGAACTACCGTATACCGGGAAATTTTCAAGGTACTAAAATTTCAAGGTTTGAGACCCCCAGACCTTTCGAGGTGATTTAAATTTCGAGGTTTGGGTACCTAAAATATATAAATATTTTAGACAATTTTAATTTCGAGGTTAGAAGAAAGTGGCCAGAAACACCCCTTACCGGTCCAATACTCACTGAGCTATCGGCAAAACTCCGAGTAGCCAGTGTTAAATTACATTTGTGACGTCATTCCATTGTCTGTTCGCTCAATTACTTTTCAGGAATGGAGCGATGTGTACCAGTTTTAAAATAAAACCTTCATTTTGTCATTTTGACATTTAATTTTGATAACAGAAATATTCCCAATACTTTGAATGTAATTTAAGTAGGGTAATATCCTCGTAATTCTCCATTATTTTTAAGGAATGGAGAGTTACTCGGACATTACCCTCTACATAGTAAAGAAAACAAACGTTTGATCCTTTGTTGTGATAAATGACCCATGAAACACTGTCGGCAGAGTTCAAACATGACGCCATTTGTTGTTCTAGCTTCCTGATGTACATAGTGAGTAGACAGATTTTGCAAATCGTAATAATATCAGTTGTAATAGTGTTGGAGATAGTAAACTGAGATAAATATTTTGAGATGATTTGGGGTGATATATTGAGGGGCGTTAAAACAGTAGTCAATTAGCAAAGCCATATCCAAAATTTCACATATCACAACACATTGGGGTATAATATTTCTTTAAAAAAAGTATTTAATTTGAACTCTTGGCATCATGTATGAATAAGTGAAAACATTAGAATAAGTTATGTCCTTATGATTACGTCATCTGAAAGGGGGTGGGTAGTGTCTCCAAAACAAGCTCTTTAAGTAAACATGAAGGGGGGGGGGGGGTCATTTTAACAAGCGACTGTAGTTTCCAATTGCTTTTTTATGCGCTTTAATATCTAAGTTTGATTCTAGCGGACTTTTGGTGATGCCTTTATTGCAGATTTTGCGTTTTTGGGGGGGTACCAAGATAAAAAAGTCAAACAAAATGGGGATCATGAGGCTGGAACATAGGTTGACCGATAACATGTAGAAAAACAAAACATAAAAAGACATTTTATATGTTATGAAATTATTATATTTAATGAAGTTAATTAAACCTCAACTTCAATATTATTGAATTTTTGTTAAAATATTTTAGTTATCATTCATTAAAACCATTCTCTCAAACTGTTAGTTTGGTTATTGCTCATTAAAATCATTCTCTCACGTGCTAAGTGTTTGGGCTGGTCCATTGTATGAAATAGGTAACAGGCAGGAGATTAGCAGTGCACTGGACCATGAACTTTGTTGTTATAAGTTGTAGGAGTTATGGGATGTAGGGGTTATGGGATGTGGGGGTTATGGGATGTGGGGGTTTTGGGAGGTTACCCTGTTGAGGCGGTGGGGGCTCATGATTATATGTTCGCTCCTCACACCGAAGACCCGGGTTCGATTCCCCACATGGGTACCATGTGTGAAGCCTACGTGCCCCGCCGTGATATTGCTCGAATATCGCTAAAAGCGGCGTAAAGCTGAACTCACTTACTTACTCCACCACCTGGGATTTGAATCAAACACCATGTCTGTGAATAATGATCAGATTTAATCACTCCACAGACTCCGCTCCTCGTCAATAAAAAGTCTGAAACAAAGGACTCAAAAACAAACAGGAATATTTAAAGTTAAGAGGTAAATATTATTCCCATCGGTCGATCTTCACCAAGGTTGCACAGTTTCAAGATGCACTGTTATGTCAAAACAAACCCTGCCTGCTCTAATCCCAGATAATAGCTCAATCTTTAATGCTGAAAGGCTTTTCAAATGCTTTGGACTTATTCAACATCAGTCAAGCATTAGACAAATTATCATTTTCCGATTCTCTTTCATGCCTTCAAGCACTTAACAATATATGTCTGAGTCATCGATATATGCTTGGCATTTTAGAATTGTTTAATGATGCTCCTTTTGGCCAATACGACATGATGTTTTGTTGGTTAACTAACCATGTAGACATAGAGGACAATGCAGAAGCTGGCGCTGCACCTAGAGTTGCCGTTGAAAACATTCTGATTCCACACTCGGATCATAAATCTTGAATCAAAGTTTATATTGAACATCAATGCAAAGAAACATCTAGTTCGGCATAACCATACCCATGAAGAACTGTTTAAATGTCAGGATTATTCGTTTTGTGTTCCCTGGAGAATCAAGCGCGTTGTGTTGGCTGTATATAGTCTCTTAAGAGATACTTATTATCTTGTTTCACTGTCATTGGATGAACAATATCTTCTAGATTACCGGATAACATATCTATTTTCACAGCAGAAGCCAAAGCTATATTAACGGCTCTTAAATATATTTAAAAAAACACTCTAAATATAAACACTATATCACTTTTTCTGACTCTCTTTCGTGCCTTCAGGCTATTATATATCTTGTACACATCCACTTTTAATTGAAATTGTTGAATTATGTAATGATCTTGCTACTGGGCAATTCGATATCGTCCTCTGTTGGTTGCCAAGCAACGTCGGCATTTCTGGTAACACAATGGCCGATATTATTGCTAAGGAAGCGTTCAACAATCTGTGACACCACTTCTTATTCCAAACTCTGAGTACAAAGCTGTCATTAGATCCTATATCTGTGATCTGATGCGCGGGAAGTGGGACACCCAAGTAGGTATAAATGATTTACATGCAATAAAACCAATATCGGTTACACCTACTTGGGTTGTCAGTCCAGATTTGAGGAGGTCATCATGCGACGATGTCGTATTGGCCATGCTAGATATACTCATGAATACCCGTTATCCCTTGTGATGAAAGAATCACGGTCAAGCACGTCCTGCTTAACTGTATTGATTTTTCCATCACAAAGGATAACTATTTCAATGTAAAAACGATAAAGGATGTTTTTAATAATGTACATGTTCATTTAATTATTGAGTTTTTAAAAGAAATTGAATTAATTGATAAAATTTGATACGTATTGTAATTAAAATATGAATTTTA